GGCACTAACCATTGGGGGGGGGGGGGTGGAGGGGGGGAGCCGACCGCACCGGGATCATATATGGATGCATGATACGTGCATGCACGCGCACATGCACAAATGCATGTCCATATGCGTACCTATACAAACAGATATGCGTATAACTACATATGTGTGTATACAACTGTATATATAAACAATGTATTCTATAACTGTATATGCAAACAATGTGCACACTTGCTGTCAGCATACATGCACATACACGTGTACACGTATCAGCGCACATAAACACACGAAAGCGCACAATCTCGGCTGAGGAACATGGCTCCGCCGAAACCATGGAAAGGGGCTGTGCTGTCCCAACTCCATGGCACAAAACACCCGACTGAATCAGATACCCTCTTTGAGGGCCTCGGGTGAGCTAGACTTACCTTGGATGCTGTGTTGAAGGCTGCGTCTAATGAGCGCACAACGCTTTATCCTGAAGAGAAAGAAGGCCACCAGCTGCAAGGAGTCTCAGGCGGGCAGTGGCTTCCACGGTAATACGTTCATGGATTCAAACATCTGCATCTGGAGGGATTTAAAAAGCCAAAGCTGCGAGCAGGCCAAAGTCAGCTTCTGCATGCTACTTGGGGCCTCAGGTTACGGTGAAGCACAGATGTGTTGCTAAAGTTCCTGCCTCAAGTTCGGCTCTGAAGCCTACAGGAAATTCGCCGCGCAGTCTGAGCATTAGCACACATTCCGCTCAGCCGTTGGGGATTCTGGCTGGTTCAAGTGCATCTCGTGGAGGCGAAGCCTCTTTTCTCAGAAACGCACGCAGAAACGCAGAAACTTAGGTTGCTTCCTTTGGCTAGGGACGATGGCCGGTTCAGCCCTCACGTCCTGTTGCGTGCTCTCGTTAGCGCTACCCTGTCTCCCGGGCCCTCGGAAGGAGCGAAGACAGGGAGACAGCCAAGTTCCCGAGCCTGGCTCCACTCTGCTCTGTCAGGACACAGTATACATTACACATACTACACGTAAGATGTTCTATAAGCACAAAAGCAACGTGGCATCTAGGCTGCAAGAGAATAAGTTGTAGCTGAATCAAAACCATCAGGGACCGTGCTTCCTTAAGCTTCAGCATGGCCAGCCCCCTAAAGGCTACTTGGCTGTCAGAGTTTGGAGATCCTCAGTGGTTTTTCCCCATGGACTCCGAGATGCCACTTGGACATAGCTGGTCGCCGCTCATAGGGATCTTCTGCTTGCAAAGGACTTGCAAAGGGTTCCCTTCTTAATCGTTCAATATAGTCTGGCTTTGAGTCTGGTCTACAAACTCATGGGACATCTGGGTCTGAAAAAGCCACCCTTGAAGATCAAAACCTCGGTCTTTGCATCCAGGAGATCTTGCCTGCGGTGGGTGTGAAACACTAAACACGCAAATTCGATGCCAAGCACGGCGAAGCTTCAGCTCGGAGAGTTGGCGTGCACCTGGACGCGTCGCGGAAGAAATTCCGAAGCTGCAGCACCTCCAGGTCCTCCGTTCAGACAAGCAGCAGCTTTGCTGGCAGCCGATGGTGCCTTCCTGAGGATCTTCCGACTGCAACAGCCACGTGGTAACAGCGGTCTCAACAGATGCAAAGATCTCAGAGCAAGCGGCCCTCCGAACCCCGCCAGCTGGTGGCCTCCCACTTCGCCCAGGGCTACCTGCATTCTCCGGCAAATGCGTCCCGGAAAAGTTCACGCTCTCGGTAAGGAGCAAAGTGTCCAGGTGGAACGACGGCTTGTGCGGGTTCATTGCAGTTGCATCTGGGGAGACGTCAAGAGTCACCAGCAAGATCGGATGTCAGCGATGAGAGACCCTTCGGTATCCATAACTTAGTTACCAACTCTAAGCCCCGAGAAGCCCAGAAACATCCCAACAACCTACACCCCACGATCCCACCCTCGTAGAGCGTGGAAGCTCCAGCGGCAAAGGAAGCTCGTTTCCGTCGGAGCCTCCCTCCTTCGGATCGTGCAGCAATGATCTTGCATTGGCATGCAATGGCATCCAGATCACATGTACGCGTGCGTTGTTGGACTATTCGCTTTGCACTTAGGTTGTTTTTTGTACATCGCCCTCGCTCACGATTGTCCTTGAGCAGCGGCAGCGGCTGGGAGACATAGCAGTTTGGCCCCGTGGCGGTGCCGTTGGGAGTAGTCGGACTTGTATTTGGTGTTGCGCCACCTGACAAAGAGAGTGAAAATGGGTGAAGCCTGATCGCCGGAAGATTCTGCCCAACCCTCTGCTCAAGGACAACGGCTTGGTCTGCTTATCTGCCAAGACTTTTCAAGAGGTGCCGGACTGGTGTACAAAGCTTATGAAATCAGCAGGATGCTTCGTTTCGGGAAGGAGCCACACTTTCAGAAGCTCCCACCCTTGCTGTGCCTGAATCCGGCTGCTTCGCCGTAACAGACACCGCTGTTGACACGAGCGGCAAGGCCTGCACAGGACCAGTACCTGACAAATGCATCACTACGGGTATACTTGTACCATGGACAATGGAGCGTTGCTAGCAGGCAGGGACTTGGCTCATCCAGCTCCCCCAGGGCTCGCACGTGGAAGCTGTGACAAAGTCGCACGTCTCCTTGGAAGCCTCGGCTACAGAGACGTAGAAAAGTGGGGGCGGTCACATCACCCAGAAGAGCGGAGCTTCAAAACGACCCCCTCATGTCCAAACCATTACCAAACCCAAACGGGCCAGTGGATGACCAGATGGCTCAGTCTCTCAGTTCACGAGATCGAACGGGCCCCTCTGAAGCCTTCATTTAGACCAGATGTGACGCTGTCGCCAAGGGACAAGGCGGCTTGCGGACTGGGCTGCTCCGCCTCTGGTGAAGGCGGAAGGCTGTTGATCCTTGGCTGCCCAGGGCCAAGGACGTCCCAGGACTCAGGACTGGCTCTTCGAACTTTGTGAAACCTCACTAAACCTCTCCGGGCAGCTGCTCCCTCACGGCTGCGCGGTAGAAGCGAAGCTCGTTGGGAGTCGGGGTAGCTGCTAGATGTCTGAGCTTTACCTGGCAGTGCAGGATCCAGAAACTCCAGAAAGAAACGCATTGAAAGAGTCTTCTCCGGTGCCTTGACGTTGCTGATGGCACGCAGCCACAGCATCTTCTCAGCACAGGTTCTCGTGGAGAAGTGGTGGTCGCCAAGGCTAAAGCAGCTGCAATCGATGCCCACCCGCTCACTGACACCTCGGAGCTATTCAAGCTGACCCGCAGCATCATGCACAGAAAACTTAAAAGCGGAGACGCTCCCCCCTGATGTCTTCGTGTTATCCACGGGGTGAGCCAATTCACAGGCAAGGCAATGCAAGCCAGGTCGCAAGTGTTCGTGTCAATGGCGAGGTGAACCACTTGCACCTCAGCCGTTTCGCTGTTTAGTAGCACATATGCAAAACTCCTCAAATCCTATTCTCGATCTCCGTCTGCTGCGGAGTTGAATAACACTTGAAGTTTTCGCCAGATTCTCAAGCCGCGCAGATGGAATATGCTGTCACAAGGCTTTGCAGGCGTCATCCTCGTATGCCGCGAAGCCCGCAGTGTTGTCGCAGTGGGCGTGCAGCTCACCTTCATACTCTCTGGCACTTCACTGGCAATTCATTATGTCCACTGTCGTCCATGTCGACCCGAGAAGAGCACTTGAGAAGAGTCGGAGTCGGAGCTTGACAAGGTCTTCTTAAGTTCGAGGCTACGTTTCTCGAATGCGGTGGGACCCGAAAGCAATTCAGCGACAACCACCGTGTAAACTTGAATGCGTAGCAAGGCTAAAAGTCAGTCATGGTAACACTGCAGTACAGCGTAATGGAAAGGACTGTACAACGACAGTAAAGATCACAATGATGCATCACAATACCATGGGAGTTTTTGAGGAAGATAATAACAAACTTCATAATCACGGATTGGCGAAGCAATATTGAATGCTACCGTATCTCTACAATCGGACACACCTGAAGTGCTCTTCCTATCCTCATACTATCATGGGTGGCATGCTACTACGGACACTTCAGGCAGCATGAAAGTGCCGCTGGAACACGATCATGTTATCCCGTCCTCTTACTGATCAATGTGGGGATCAGCCCATCTTCGGTGGCGCTTCTGCCCCATCCCTTCACGAACAAGTCCTCCAAGCTTTTGACTCACTCTCGTCAGCCAAGGCGCCGTAAACCAGCGAGACACCCTGGTCATCGTAGAGCAGCATGTACCCTGGACTTGCTTTTGCTACAGAAACACTGGGTAGCACTGGTCAAACAGCTTGACCCCATCCAGCGCACCTGCTAGCAACCGGGTGGACGTCCAGCTTGCTCCAGGCAAGGGGAAAACAGCCAACTGGAAGGAGGGGAAAAGAGACTGCGTCAGAATCCGCAAAGCTCGTGACACCTCAGAAGCGAGCATCCGTGCAAAATGTTGACTAGCTCATCGTGCCTTCATACGGCGGCCGTGTAAGCGATACATGATTCTCACATTGGACAATGCTGCCTGTCAATCAAATCTCACGAGGCAAACTCGACGAAACTGCCGGCCTACGATGCGACTTCGTGACAACTCCTGTCCATCCCAGGCGCATCGGCCACCCACCGCGCACGTTCCGTGTCGGCGCTAGGGCCATGTGTGGCGAAAAAATGGGTGATGCCATGGTGGAACACCGAGACCTGCAAAGGGAGGAAGAAAATGCTCAACGATGTGGTGCACGCTCTGCTGCCGTAAGCTTTACGGCTTCAGGCTTTCGCGTGCTCACCGAATGAAGCCTAGTTTCAATTAGGCGCGAGAAGTGGTGGTCATGCCTGGCTCTGCTACGACGGCGAATCCGGTATGATGATGAAGTGCGATGACGACGTTAGGTGAAACGATCCTGAGGTGAATAGATCTGCATGAGCGGTTGATGGTCTCATCGCGTGTTGCATGCAGACATTATGCTCCGCCTTCTTACCGCAGCCTCAGTCGTGAACCTCCTAGCTCCCCTGCTTTGGGTTTCCAAAACCTTTGCCAACAACAAGCCCTTGCTAAAGCCCCAACCCGTAGCATTCTAGATTCACACCAGTCATGTGATGCAAGAACACGGTGCCGAGAGTATTCACCGCATGAACGATGTGATGGAAGCTGCGAACCTTCGCAACGCAAGAGCTGGAGGCCTGCAGCCTGCTCTTTTAGCTACCAGAGAGGACACAGAAAAAGTAGAAGGCTTAGAAAAGCGCGAGAAGCCTTCGACAAAGATGTGACCACCCAGCCTTGAAAAGACGTAGCCAGGGTTGCGATTGATCGGCCTTCGGGTCAAAGGAGATCCCTTCGTTCACTGCAACTGAAAAAAAAAAACAGCTCGTGACGGGCCTGGATTGTGTGAAGCCGGCAGGCTTGTACCAGGGAAAATGGCGACCACGCAATACTCATGGCTGGATGATTGTCATCCGGATATCCTCACAGTTCTGCAGCGCCAGCTGAGTTCTTAACCACATGTTGGCAAGATCTGCTGAGAAAACAATTGGCACCGCGGCAGCCCACAAGTGCACACGCTTCCGAGAGTCTTCATGCACAGTGTGCCAAGACCGCAGTATCTCAAAGCCCTTCAAGCAAAGGTTCTGATTGAAAAGCCATTGGAATGGATGGACAAGATCACCTTCTCAAAGCTTTTGCCATCCTCTTGGCACAGATGCCAGACCTGTTCAGGTTCTGGCTCAGGAGCTGAAAGCATTTCCCACGCTGCATGTGCCGAAACTTATGTGCACCGCGCTTGGACATCAACTGAATCGTTGACAACATCAGCATGAAAAAAATAGGTCATGCCTATGCCGAGTCAAGGAAACAACTCCCACCAAAAGTAAACCTCAACCCTTCGTCAGGAGAAAGGCACAACGGAGATGCCTCGCCCGACCTCATCGGAGGCTCAGTCAGCGGCCTCGCAGCAAGGCTTACCGCTAAGGCCTGGGGGTAAAGCGGGTAAGGGTATCGGGGTCGTTTTTCGCATCTGGCTCATGCTCTTTGAAGCTTGAGATCCTTTTGTCAGCTAGTTGGTCGAGATGTCCTCCATTCGGATTGCAAGTCTTGCGGCTGCGAATCCCGCTGCTTAGCAGAGCGGCAAATCCATCTCGGCGGAGTACGTAATCAAACCTCAGCGAGAGTTCAGGTCGCAGCTAGCGAACACCTGTTACATCCAGGCACTTGCCCGGAGCTACTCGATGCACAGCGAATGATGTGAGACACCCATGTGACTGCGACTGCGGTTCGGCACACTATGCAAGGCCAGCGACCCTCCCGTGGACGACTTGGAAGTTGCAGAACTTCTTCCGGTGGCAACGGCTCCTGCATCAGTCCAACCACCACACATGTAATCCAGCCCAAGTGACCGATCATCATGACATGTCATGGGTATCATATACAACTACATATACATATACATATATATATATACTTCTACATATGCAAACATATCTATCTATCTATCTATCTGTCTGTCTATCTATCTACCTATATGTATGTATGTATATGTAATACGTACTGAATATATGCCTGGACCTACACCTAGACGAGGTACACATACACACTTACAGACATGTACAAGCACATACATGCGCGCGCACACACACATTCAAAATTACATTAATGCAGACGTGAACATTGCAAATACATGTGCAGTGCGGACACATACGCAAGTACAAAAGTAAATAAGTACATACATGCATGCATACACCCCTACATACTAACATACTTACATGCGCATACATACCACACATACACAGATACACACATACACACATGCATACAAGCATACATTACATACGGACAAACATGCGTGCATGTGTGTGTGTGTGTGCGTGCGCGTGTGATATGATCTCCTCCGGCGGCTCTCCGCAAAGAAAGTACTCCACGTCCGTCTCGCCGGGCATGTGCGGATGCGCCTTCCCATCTTCGCCTCGGCTTCCAGACATCTTGCCACCGAGCGAAGCTTCAGATAACAGCAGATGCAGGGAATCGGAGGGAGTATCAGTTGCGCAAATTGTGCACAGGAGGACAAGCACGAAAAGGCTGTGCCAAGCCCTCTGCCCTTCTTGTTTTCACCTGGGGCCATGGAGCTACTTTCACTCAACTCAAGTGATTCACCGTGTCCGAGCCTTGCTTGCATCTGCAAAGCGTGTTGATGACAGAAGCTTCGATGTCTGTCATCGACTTCTCGCCCTACACCATGGCGAAATGCTGAGCGGCGGTTTTGCTGCCCGGCTACCAGCACTACCCGCTTCCCTATCGCTGATACTGGTATGTTTGATGAGCACGGGTCTTTATCTTTGGGTCTGGCAGATTGGCCGGGAATGAGCATATCCCCCATGCCTTCAAGCAATTCTGGGTGATTCCAAGTTTCGGTCAGATCTTAAGCTCGGTCCAATAGTCCAAGGTCAGGCCAAGTAGATTTCTACAGCCCTTCACTTGCTCTTGCAGTCAGATATAGTCAGATTGGACATTCTCCGGATTGCTGGGTTACGCTGCTTGTCACGTGCGTGTACCTTGAACAGACTGCGAGGCGATTGAGCAGACCATGTTCGTGGAAGCTGGAGAACCTGCGAAAGCATGCCATGAATTCCGGCGGAATGGCAACACAGAAAGCCAAGCAAGCCGGATACCGGAAACCATATTGCAGACTCAGTTGCACGATGCTGGATGTCGTAGAAGAACTCCGAGGTGAATAACATGCCCAAGCTGATATATGTCGGCGTAGACCCCAACACAATGAAAGACCAGACACCAACATACACCAGGAGATGACCCCGACCAAGGCGACCAGGGCAAGCCCGACAAACACGAACACTGAGAGATCACGACCAGGACATACCAGGACGACAATGGCGGGCACGACGATCACCACCACCACTACGACCACGACGATAAAGACCGGCACAACGACCAGGATCATCACAGAAACCAAGCTGTCGCAGCTCTGCCTGTTCGACGTCTGAAGTCCAGGCCGCCCGAGCAGTGTCCAGCGCCGTCTTCCAAAGAGCATTGCAGGTGGTCAAGGCAGAGCATGGGAGCGGAGAGAAGCAGTCAAGGCCAGGAGCCTACTTGGGGGTTTTGCGGGCCTCCACTCAGCCAACGTTTGGGGACACAAAGTGTCAAGCACCGCTTCGGCGATTAAACGGTCGCCACCACAAGCAATGGGGACGGTTCCTGTCTTGTGACTGGCAACAGCTTGAAGGACAGCCCCAGTGCTTTGCATGGACTCTTGACCATCACTGTCATCATCGTCATCATCATCATCCAAGGCCCCTCATCCCTGTTGAGACATCACCCGGATGCAGAAACGACAAGCTCGATGAGCATGCCGCGCCGCCAAGTTGCACCCTACCCTTTTGAGTAGGCGTGGGTCGTTTTGGGTGTAGGTTAGGGGAATAAGTGGATGCCCTTGCCTGCCATCCCTGATCCCTGTCTCGATCTATCGGGACCACTGGGAACCGACCACCTACAACCACAGCGGGCAAGGGGAAAGGGACTCCTCCGCCCAAAACCCAAACCCACCCACCGGCAGTGGGGGTCCTACTTGGTGGGCTGAAGAGAGGGCCGAGGTGGTTCGGTAGTGCCAGGCAGGTTGCCTAACATTCCCCTTTCCTGCATGTTTTGCGCATTTAACTCATTATAAGACCTAATAGTTGGATCATCTTGCAAATATCCCAAAACGTGCACGCGACTGAACCAGGAGAATGCAGGAGCCACATCTTAATTTTTTGAGGCGGCCACAGGATTCTCACCCCAAAGACGCACGGCACTTTGGCAGGACCCCGAGTGTGGTGGGGGAAACGACGCCACAGCAGAAGCTGCAGAACCGCCGCCGCACGTGCTGCCGGGCGCGCTTCTCCGGGATGGCAACGTACAGTATTGCCTCCACCCTGAACGCAAGAAGCCCAGTGTTGCTGCATTTTTTCGGGGACGACATCTTAACAAGGCCCATTGCCCCATCACTCCACCTTGCACATCTCCACACAACAGTGGACATGAAGCTCAAACTCCCAAGAAGCCCTAAGCCTGCGGCGTTGGGATCTTTAACGCACGCTTGGCACTCCCTGCAGAGCTCCCAGCAGCCCGAAATCCTCCTCAGGGCTTCGGAACTCCAGCGTGTGCTTCACAATTCCTGAGGATGAGGGCTTTGAGGACTGCTAGGCTGCATAGGTTTCACCCGGGCTGGGTTCGCAGCTCAGGGCAACTATCAGCTGAGCTGAGCGGCTGCCATTCCATGGGTCGAGCTCGTAGACAGAATTTAGGTCCACGATTCGCTCGGAGGGTTCGTTGGCTGTCTCTTGAGACGAGGCCCACTCTTCAGCTTGGCCAAGGAAGTTGGTGCCTGCCTGAAAAAGGTCTGTCTTACCCCAAGGCGCATTCTGAAAATTTTGTAGGGCTCCTCGGGCCGCTTGCACCGCACTGCGGGCCTGCTCCTTGCCCAACACATCTCTGGGTATCATGACGAGGCGCCAGCGAACGCGCAGGTACAAGCCAGAGTGCACCACATTTGTTACCTCACTTCTTGCAGAAGTGCTGATCAGCTCGGTGCCTTGACGAAAGTTGTCCCAGAACTGGCCGTACTGCATTGAACCCACGAAGCGCAGACCGCTTACCTGAGCAATCTCCAGAGAAATCCCAGGGTCAGCCACACTGGCTCCCGGTGCGATGCCCGGCAGCCGCGCATGGTCGCTTCGAACAGTGTCTATTGCTTGGCCAACATTAGCCGCGAAGTTTGGGTCCGCCTGCGCCCGACGGACAGTCAAAGGGCCTCCAGAGCACCAACGACCGGGGCTCTCTGCTGCCGACACTGGGCATACCCCGGTCGAAAAAACTTGCGCAAACGGTCGGCTCGCACATTGGTTGTTTGCATGCCAGATGGAACATAGGACTGCAAGCTTGCAGAGTCTGCCACGCAAGTTCTGCGACATTCTGGAACTCCCACCACTGAGCCGTGAAGGAACGATTCACTGGCTAGTCTGTTCCTGTCTTGCAAAGGCTGTGTTCTTATCCAAAATCCGAGGCTGTACTGAGAGCTTGGAAGAAGCGGCAGAAGAGTTTGTCAAGCGATGCTCCCCGTGAGTTTGCCTAACATCCCACTTGCTCCATCTCTTGGGAAGTCCAGAGGACGCCTCTGATCTTCATGGCTACAGCAAGGCAGAAGTAAACCCGACGAGCTGAGTGTCAAAGAGCTCTCAGTACATGCGGTAAATACGAGCATTGCGGCCGTCATAAGCCTTATGGCCATTCGGGGTACTTTTAAAATGCACTCCTTCTTGCACGACGGCACCTGGAATGCCCTCCCAGGGTCCCACATTCCATCCTGTACAATCATCGATGAAGCACCTCGAAACCTTATGGTTGAGGCCCCACTAGTAGCCTTCAGCTTTGCGGCTGCACTGCATCTTAGATGCTCGCAACGGCAACTCTCAGACAGCCCGACTAGGCCTCTAATTTATTAAAACTTGAAGGTCTTCAGTGTCTGCCAAAGGTGTCACGGCCGCCACTGCCTGAACAGTCAAGGACTTGTGCCAGCCAGGCGATCTCAGAAGCGGCGAATGCGCTCCGGACTTGCAGGAAGGGCAACGAGCCTGTTGACCAGGTCATGACCTTAGGAATGACATGCTCAGGCTCAGGTGTGGTTGATTGAACAACAGCTGTGCCGACGACCGATGGTGGCTGCAAAGAACTGCGTCCGCATCTCCTGGTCGTGCACCTTTCCGGTTTCCGGGTAGACTGAACTCTTGATCTTCAGCTGTCTGCGATCCTTGCCTGATGGAGGATGTGCTCCGCCCATCTGTCAGGGTCCTCATGCCGCGGCAACGGCTTAGGATGTGGCCTGCAGCAACGAGCCACACAGGACTAATCTGTGAGGTCGCTTCTGCTCCGAATGCAGTCAAGCTGCATCAGGCTCGGCATGAGCACATCCCAACCTGGACGAGCTTCGAGTTTTGCCGCTGCTTCGCTTCGTGCTGGTGAAACCCACTATATCGGCCGAGCTCTCAGCCATATTTGCGAGTGACGTGCACTGACTTCAGCAGCTGTGAGTACTCTTCAGACAGATGCTCCCTCGGTACGAGCTGAAGAGCATCAGTGTCTCAGGCGCTGCACTGCGGTTCGCAAACCGCTCCGGAAGACCTGCCATCCGAGGCACTGAATCGCCTTCAGGAGAGCGCTGGGCAGCAGCCGCATGTCCGAAGCTTTCACGAACCAAACCTGGCGCCGGAGGAATCCAGTGAGTCCACGGAGCGATCCGATGAGGCGCCTCGCAGGTGGTGGCCGCCACTGCCGAAAGAGGCTCCAGTGCATTGATCCAGGACCCAAACCTTTCGATCTGGCGCAACCCGAGACTGTGACAACAGCGCTGCAGTCGCAAGCTTTGAAGCAGGCTTGGCTTCGTGCAGCTGCCCGGGAAGCAGCGTTTGACAAGTTTCAGCTCCATCGTCCTGCACGTCTCCAGGTGCGAGCCAACAGAAACACGTCAGCCCGTCAGCCTGCTCTTTCTTCAGATGTACATTGCCTGACAAGTGTCAAGGAATTCTGGCTGGGACATGCTGAGACCAGACCACATTCACTGCACCTCTGTAGATCACATAGATCACCCTCGAATCCTTTCACAACAGGGCTGCCGTCCCATGCTGACTAAGGCTACACGTACCGGGTCCGCGGCTCTCTCGCCCTGCTTCAAAAAAATGAAGTCCTGGCAAACACGAACAATGTGTTTTCATCGCTCGACTCCGGTCCTCGTGCTGATCACTGCTACTGATCCTGATCGACCTTCAATTTGTTGAAGAAGAAGCTGGGATGTGGAGGATCATTGGGGCCTCCCGCACGGCTGGTCTTTGGCAAGAGCTCCGTGGCGGCAACAGCCCTCTTCGACACGCAGCGCGCAATGCTCTGCTCTGGCTGCACTCTTCCGGCCTGGCTCCGGATAAGCCTCGCAGCTTCGAGGGAAAATGACGGAAATCCACGGGTGTTTTCTGCTCAGGTGCCTTCATGCCCGGGACGAAGCGGTTCAGAAACTTCTTCTTTGCCTTCGTGGCAACTATTCCCAAGCGAGTCCCCCTGACCAGCCTGGGCCACATTCCACAGCCTCCTGGAGCTGAATCAGGCGATCCTGCGAAGGTTTACGAGGCAAGTGAAAGAAGCGCTCTCATCGCTCTCTGTGTGTTGGGTGACCTTGGCAATCTTGAAGGCGCTGGCGGGCAACAGCAGGAACTCACCTGGGGAGACCCGATGGAAGTCTCAAGTCTGGCGCTCACGAGGTCAGCGACCATGGATTCTGTCAAGGTGCAGTTCGTCAGGCAGCTGGCAGCTGCCTCGGGGTACGTGCGCATGGCTTGAGCCCTCCGACTCCGACTTCCTCCCCCTCGCTTCGAAGCCGGCCTTTCTGGTTGCGTCCTTGTGCATCAGGGCCAGCCTGGGGGTGTTGAGTCGCGTCACCCGCATCTGTCCTGCGCCCACCCTGCGCGTCTGCCCTACTCCCTGCAGAACGTATTGGCCCAAGTGGCTCGCCGAAGACCGCGCCGCTCCGTGCCTTGCCGACACACTTCCCCAAGTCGCTTTGCAAGGACACCGTGCTGACACCGTCCAGCGTCCTCACCTCGAAAGCTGCACTTCGGAGAAGGTCCTTTCTTCGGCGCCTGGGGTGCGAGCTCGGGCCGACTCTTCCCAGGGCATTGGAACGTGCCTGCAGGCTGGAACTTTGAGCCAAAGGTCGACTCTCGCGACTGCCAGTTCTGCCAAAGTTCACATCCTCAAAGCCTGCGCTGACAGGCAATCGTGGGGTATCTTGATTTCCTGGACCTGGCGCAGTCTGCACAGCTGCCACGAAACGGACAGGCTGCAACTGAAGCACAACTTCACCCGGCGACTACAGTAGGCACCTGATCTGTACACGCACGCCGCGAATGCTATCGTAGCTACGAGTACGTAACCAGTACGTATACATGATACGCTCCAAATGAAACTGTGAGCCATAGGCCCGCGGCCTATGAAGAAGGCCACCTCCCAGCAGTCACCGAAGCAGCTGCTTTCATGCGCTTATGAACCAGAGGATCTGACAGTGGATCCGTGACGCGACTTACACTCCATGCCCGCTGGCCTCTCCCCTGACGATCAGCCAGCAATGGGCCTGGGCAGAGGGGAAGGCAGACCAAGCGCTTCAAAGCATCGGCACAAGCTAAAATACTAGGATGTACTGTATCAATCATCTTATTCTTAGTATCTGTAATCTTAATCTCAGAGTTGAGAAACAGCATCAATACTAGTAATGAGTCTGATAGAAATAGAATAGCATAGAATATGTTAGACTAGAATAGCATGAAATAGGAGAGGCTAGAAAGGAAAAGAATTGACAAGAATGTAATATATCTTAACCCAATCTCATCTCATGTAACCGAGGATGATATGAGATGATGAGATAGGACATTATCCATCATGACATGACATGACATGACATGATATGAAAGGATACGGTATGATACGATACGAGATGATATGATATGTCAAGTTGCCACATGATACGAAAACATCTGATACAATAGGATATGATATGAATTTTATGGTATCACATGCTATAAAGCAATCTTACAGGGTAGATGACCGGGTAGGATATACCGTCTAACATATTGCAAAGCACTGTAAAGCAAAATACTATGCTAAAACATAGCACATATGATTGCAACCTATAGCATATCATATGATAAGGTTCCTCATGCAGTACAATAAAGCTTGATACAACATGGAATGCTATATAAGCCTACATTGCATTGCGGTACAACATGCAATACACCATGGTCTATTGTGTAGACTATAAAACTATGTAGTATACAAGACAGAAAAAATCTAGTACAATATGACATTACACTATACGTTATCAGAACATGCCATATCACACCATGTTGACTGGTAAAATACAATATAGCAACATAATGCAATATTGTAATGTAAGGAACACATTACAGTATGATATTTGAAGATAAGGTTAAAGAAATATGATAACACGAAAAACACTACAGTGATAAGGTTGTTGTAATAATTGCCATAACATATGCTATCTGACCATATATAACCTTTTGTAAACCATACACATGTGTGTATATATATATGTATCATATCATATATATATATATATAGATATACATATCCATATATATATATATGTGTTATGCATAGATGTTGCACGATAGATTATAATACGACCTCCAGTATGTATATGTATATTATCATTATATATGATCCATAGTATCATATATCATATACAATGTAATATGGTGGATGTAATGTGTGTAGTGAAGTCTAGAAACATGATATCATAAAGAATACCACACAGAAAATATAGTGCAGAATCTAGGCAGTACACTCTACACTATAAACAGACCCTAAGCACTAAAATCTAACATGCAATATACGGCGCCTATGATCTACGACATAGAACATGTCATGTAAACATAACCTATGTCATACATTCATAGATAGTGTATGGTTATATGCGGTCGTTGATATAGGTCTGTACGAGCTACTTCCGCTTTGTATGGAATGGAGAATACAAACACATAATACAGAACATAGAGTATAGAACGTAAAAGTACAATACCTGAGAAAATAACAATGCAAGAATATGACTCGCTGCCGTCGCTCGGTGTCTTGCCGGTGGATCCCCCTGGCGGAAGACGACTGCACCCTTCGGAGCCTGCCACACGCGGAACTGTTTTTCGCGATGCGTGGCCCATCCTCCCATCCTCCATGAAAGAAGCCATCCGAGGAAGCTCCGCCAAGACTTCAGGCTCCAGACTTCTGAAGAAGTTGCTGCGCTGCCTTGGGACGAGTCTAGACTCACGCAAGTCGCAAGAACGGTCCCACGAACCAAACAAGGATTACTCTGATAAAGCCTAAGCCTGGGACAGCAAGGCAAAGGCTCGCTCCTCCTCCTCGGTTGTGATCGCGTCGCGCTCGAGCTCATGAACCATGGTGGCCTCCTGGAGGTGAACCAAAGATCGGAGATCCAGCACAAGATAGCACAGCTCTGAATGTAAGAAGCTTTTCTCTTCCATAGGGCATGAGGGCCGTGCGAAAGCCCCTGGCCACTAGAGCCCCCCATGTGTTACGAGGTTCCGAGGACGTCTTTCTTCTTCCACACAGCCAAAGAGAAGGCAAGTCGCCCCCTCTTGTCGCGTGCGAGCACCCTCTCTCTCTCTTTCTCTCCATAGGGCTGTGGCTCTCTCTCTCTTCTTCCACACAGTCAAAAGAAGGGCAATGCACCCCCCGTCTGCGCGCGTACGCGCACTGGTTGTGCGACTCATGTGTGAAAGCTTTGTTCGATGCTGGCCGCGGTCCCCGAACAACTAACCACAGACTTAGACCTAACTAATTTATGGGAACCCCGGCCTCATCGGGCTCACGCCTGCTCTGTCCCCCCTTTCGCAGTTTGTTCTTCAAACTCAGCTCTTGGTGTGAACCGGGCGGCTCTTCACAGGGCACAACACATGCAAACACAGACGCAACACACACAAGTTTCGCTGGAGCCCCCCAGTTCGTCGTCACCAAGTTGTGCGAGGGCTGGAGCTTTCGGCATGGCAGTACAAGACAAACGTGCATGGACCCCCTTGCTTAAGTCGGGAAGCACTGCTCGGATAGAGAACTCCGTTGATCAAACAGAACCAAACAAACTCTATCATCAACTCATGGGTCTGCACTGTGTGAAAACTGTCTGCAGCTGGGTCCCCCTATCTTGTAACACTACAGGAAGCAGGTCAAACGTCGACAAGCTAACACCACACACTGCGACTGAGGCCCGGGCTGCTGAAGACTTGTTGCATGTGCCATGGTTACACAAGAGTAGTCCTGTCCCCCTGAAAACACCTTGTACTGAGCATCCCATCACAAAGAAACTAATCCCCCATGACACCATGCATTCTGCGCCTACGGTGGTTTGGGCTCTCTCTCTCTCTCTCTCTCTCTCTCCTCCGGGCGTAGGGACGGGTCAGCGTCCCCGGGCACCTGGCCCACCCACTGTCTTGTTGGGCTACGGGGAGTGACAAGCGAACATAGACCG